AAAAAAAAGAAATATACTCATTTATATATGGACATTCCTAGAACAAACCATTTCAATGTCAAGATTATAGTTTCATTGCAGGTACCCTAGGATAATGGACAAGTACTATGATTTCCTGAACAAAACAGCTTGAAGTAAATGTAAATATATTAATACATGTGAATTCTGAGTATATATTGTATATTTTTTTATTCCCAAAATATACTTAAGTTATAAGACAAGGGTATTAAGAGTTGATAGTTCATAAAGAAGTATTAAATTTCAAATCTGAAAATCCCTTAAAGTACTATTCTGAGTTAATTCAATGCTATACAGCAGATTTCTGATAAAGTTATTCAATAAGTTTATCATGGGCTGGCTATCTTAGTAGGGTAAAATTTAAAACTCTAATAGGTTACCTGGTTGAGAATATTCCAGGATGTATGCAAGAGTGCTACGAATTAGAGCTGTCCATTGTTTTTGAGTTTCCTTGGTTTTGACAATTGAAAGTGTCACAATACTTTTAATCCCTTGAAGAGTGGCACTGACTGGTGGAGGAACTTGATTATCTGCAGATTTTATTGCTGTATCTTTCAAAATTCTTGCAATTAAGAAGAGAATAGTGGGCAGGATTGTCATACATCCTAAAATAAAAAGAAAATAAGATTACTTCATAACTATTTTAGCTCCATATTACTTTCCATTATATAAAAAAATTAAATTTTTTACAACTGATTATGTCTCTCCAACCTCCCATGGAGGTTCACCATGTTGTTCAGGCTTGCCTTAAACTTCTGGGCTCAAGCAATGCCTATAGGCACAGGTCACACTACACCTGGGGATTGTGGTTTAAAATTTTTCTCCTTGTTTTTATACAAAATTCACCTATTACTAATACAACATTTGAAAAAGAATCTAAGAAGTGTGCATTAAGCCCAGGATAGTCCACTTCCATAGAATAATTCTTTGGATACATATCTATAGATAGTTCTTATCTTTGTTAGCTATAATTCCTTTAGATATTCCTAAACATTGGCTATCACTCTCCTCTGTCATTCTTTAATTTTTACATTTTTCTCATGAATGGCAACCAGCTTAGGAAACAAAGAGTCTACAATTCCACCTTATGCCCAGGTGTTGACTTTCAGTGTCTTTCCTATGGCTATAATTCTTCCTCTTCTTTAAACACTATTTGAAAAGACTACCTTAGGTTTTGAATCTTTATAATCTTTAACCTTAACGGGTAAACAAACTCTAAGAGAGACCAGTCTTCTCATTTTACACTTGAGACTTAAGAGGAAAATAAAATCGTAAGTGTTTAAGTGCAATGCAAGTTCATCTTTGTCTACTATAATATAATGCATTTTCAAATACCGATCAATACTTTACCAGCAGGTGAACAAAGAGATGGCAAATCGGACAGAATGGTCACTGTAGCTGCCACCAAACGAGCACTTTCTTCTGAAAGCCGAGTTTTAGTGGCTATGTGACTTGGAGAATCTGACATTTTGGTACTCAGGTGTGGCATATGCCGTACTAAAATGAACATCAGCAGCTCCATAGTTGCAAACACAAGAGACTGTCCAGGAATGAGGCCACCACTGTCACCTCCTTCTCCTAAAACAGTACAGGACTCTTTTTCCATGTCATCTTCATCTTAAGGAAGAGATAATTTGGTGAAAATCCAGAAAAAAATAGTCTATAAACAGCACTGTACATATATTTATGCAACCACTTCACAAGACCTTACAAGTAACTGTCTCACTGATGCTGCATGTCTTTGTCAGCATACTTGTCTGCCTAGCCGGAGTCTTGTGTCTTGACCTGTTCTTCCAAGCAGCAGATAGTTAATTTTTTACTTAGGAATCATTATTATTTTGTTAAGTATGTATTGCATATTGAGAATAATACATGCTAAGTTGAAGAGATAAAATGAATTTTTTCTTCTTTTTTTTTGCTGGTCCTGGGACTTGAAGTCTGGGCACTGTCCCTGAGCCCCTTTTTGCTCAAAGCTAGTACTTACCACTTGGGCCACAGCGCTATTCCAGCTTTTCCTGTGAATAACTGGAAATAAGAGTCTCATGATTTTCCTCCCCTGGCTGGCTTCGAACTGTGATCCTCAGCCTTTTAAGTAGTTAGGATTATAGGTATGAAACACCAGTGTGCCTTGAAATTGACTTTTTTTTTGGTTGTGGGGTGTGAACTCTGGAGCCTGGGCATTATTCCTCAGCTCTTTCAGCTCAAGGCTAGAGCTCTACCACTTGAGCCACAGCGCCACTTCTGGCTTTTTCTTATGTAGTGCTGAGGAATCAAACCCAGGGCCTCATGCATGCAAGGCAAGTACTCTTGGTGGTCCTCTAGTGATAGCAAATCATTTCTAAATCTTCAATGTGTAATTTATTCTTGAGAGCTTGTTTGGAGTTTCTAGCAGAAAGCACAGCTATTTATATATATATATATATATATATATATATATATATATATATATATATCAAGACCCATGTATATATATACATGGGTCTTGATCCAAGACCCATTCCTCTATTGGAAAAGTTGTTCTCTTTGACCAATGGAAGCATGTGGAATGGTGAGGGAGAAAGGGGACACCCACTTTGCCAGCCAAAACAGCCAAATCAACTCTGGCAATCAATTGGGTGACACATGCCACAGCCAGATCATTCTCCCATCCGATATATATATGTATATATATACATGTATATATATACATATTATACATGTATTATATATTTATATCTATATTTTTTTCTTTGCTAGTCCTGGGGCTTGAACTCAGGGCATAGGAGCTATCCTTGAACCATTGTGCTGAAGAATAGTGCTCTACCACTTTGAAGCGTAGCTCTATACCTGGCTTTTGGTAGTTAATTGGAGATAAGAATCTCAGACTTTCTTGCCCAAGCTGGCAGCTTTGAACTGAGGATTCCCAGATCTCAGACTCTTGAGTAACTAGGATCACAGGCATGAGCCATTGGCATCTGGCTTCCAATTATATTCCAGCAGAGTGCCTACTATATGAGCTGCAGAAATGGTAGCTCTTCTTGTTGGCCATGGGGTTGAACTCTGGGCTTGGGCACTGTCCCTGAACTCTTCAGCTCAAGGCAAGCACTCTACCACTTGAGCCACAGCACCACTTCTGGTTTTCTGGTGGTTTATTGGAGATAAGAGTCTCATGGACTTTCCTGCCCGGGCTGGCTTTGAACCTGGCTTTGAACTGCAGTCCTCAGATCTCAGCCTCCTGAGTAGCTATGATTACCAGTGTGAGCCACCAGTGCCTGGCTCCAATTATATTCTTTAAAAACATCCTCGAATTACTATTTAGGAGATTAAAATACAAATAAGAATTACTTCAAGTTAGTGTAATTTCCAGTGCTTACTTAGAGTGTTTTGTTTTTCCTGCAAATAATCTTGAGCAGCTCTCACTATCTGCTGTACCACTCCAGTCACCAACAGCTGTATGGAAGGTGGGTTCCAGGTCAGCAGGAGGCGATGCAAGACACTCAGCAACTCAACACCAATAAGCTATTATAAACCAATACAGATACATTTAATTAATTTTAAATTCAAAAGACAAATGTATAGTATTAAGATGTGAGAAAATATACTGGTAAAAAACACTTTATAACAAAAAGTAATATATAAGACAGTATAAAAACTGACATTATGCAAAATGGTCACATATTATCCTAATAAAATTTCAAAGTCCAAATAGCTGAAGAATTTTATAATTTACATATTTAAATAAGTTTCCTATTCAAAGGTAATCATTCTCTCATTGATAAGAAATATTTGAGCTCATGGTATCCTTTGATAATTTCCCTCCTACTTCTTGAACCATCTCTCCTTATCAAACCTTAGTGTTATTTATCCTTCTATCTTGGCCTTTTTTCTTCTTTATTTACTTTTTTTTTAGCTTAGTATACTTCTATTTCTCTGAAATGATGGAAAAAGCCTCACAACTAGCCTCCACAAGGTTGATATTTTTGTCCTTCTGTATCTATTTTTATTATTTATTTTTTGTGGTGCTGGGAATCAAATATAGGGCCTTGAGCAGTCTGTCTTTCCCTAGCCCTGTGTTCTTCACCCTTAGCCCTCTGCCATTGATTCAATGTTATTATATAGATGATGTACAAGAGGGCCCAAGTTTCAAAGTCAAGTAAAGACTACATTTCTTTTTAGAAAATGTTACCCATTCCCTTGTTCTTTATAAAATTTATTATGCCATTCCTCTATACATTTGTGTGTATGTGTGTGTGTGCATGTGCTCATCCTAGTACCCAGGGTCTGGGCTCTGTCCTTGATCTTTTGTGCTCAAGGTTAGGGCTCTACCACTTGAGGCACAGCTCCAAGTCCAATAGTTACTTGGAGATAAGAGTCTCAAGGACTTTCTTGCCCTGATTGGCTTTGATCTATGATCCTCCAATCTCAATCTCCTGAGTAGCTAGGATTATAGATGTGAGGTGAGTCACTGATACTTGGGCCCTTCTAAACATTTTAAGATCATTTTTTATGCTAAAGTTCAAATTTTTTCACATGCCCTAAAGAAATCTTCATGATTTGGTCTTTACTCAGTTGTCTAGGTTCATCTAACAGCCCCTACCTGTTCTAATATCAGCATGTACTTGTCATGATCTCTTCCACACTCTAGTTTTTGTGTTTGTGTTGATCTTTCTCAGAGGAAACCGTATCCTTTTTGTAAGTCCCAAGACTTGATTAGGTTGGGGTACAGCTCAAGAGGTAGAGGATTTGCATAATGAGCCCAAGGCTCTACATTATAACCGCAGCACTGACATACACATATACATATATGTATACACAAACACGTGTGTGCATGCACACACACTATATATATATATACCATATAAATATACGATATATATATGGTATATATACTTTAATAAGTCATCCTTTACTCTGTTGGTACTTCCCCTCTATTTTCAAGGTATGCTTACACATATAAAACACAGCACAAGTCACACTAATACAGGGGCTAGAAAATAATGCTTGAAATGTGTGACCTTAAAATGTGTCTGAAGTAGAAAAGGCACAGAGTAAAAGCAGATGGGTAAATGATTACAGTAGGAGTCAGCATATTTTCACAATGCTAGAATTATAGGATCCAACTAAAAAAGGTATCTATTTTCCCCATTTTAAACTATTATATTACTAAGCCCCCCAAATAGCTAGCTAGATGCAATAGTATAAATAGTTGAGTTTAAATACTATAGTACCTTTTCAGCCTAAATCTTATTTGTTTTTACTTTTTTTTTTTTTTTTTGCTGGTCATGGGGCCTTATCTCTGGGCCTGGGCACTGTCCCTCAGCTCTTTAGCTCAAGGCTAGCGCTCTATCACTTGAGCCACAGCACCATTTCTGATTTTTTTCTGCTTATGTGGTACTTAGGAATTGAACCCAAGGCCTCATGCATGTAAGGCAAGCACTCTACCACTGAGTCACCTTCCCAGCCCTTAAATCTTATATTAATTTAAAAACAATCCTAAGAATTCATATTCTCCCCTTCCCTCCCCTCCCCTCCCCTCCTTTCTTTTCCTTCTTCTCTGCCTCCCTTCCCTTCATGGGCCTGAACTCAGAGCCTCACAATCTCAATCAGCTTTTTTGTTAATAGCTGGAGCTCTACCACTTAGGCCTGACTTCCAGTCTAAACAGTTTTGCCGGCTAACTGGAAACAGTCTTGTGGACTTTCTTGCCCAGGCTGGTTTTGAACTACGATTCCCCAGACCACAGCCTCCTGAGCAGCTAGGATTGCAGCTGTGAGCTACTAGCACCAGCTCATTTTAATCTGTAGTTTAGTTGAGGCACAGTTAAAGCTACAAGGCTAGGGTGCAAACAAGAGTTAATCAGTAAGTAAACTTTATAATCACATTATATGTTTTATTTTTAGGCAGCATCATATGCCAACTTAGTTTCATATGACAACTCAGTATTTTATCTACTTGTGTTTTACAGGAAAATATACCAAGTGATATCATTTGGTAGAGTGGTATCAAAAGGAAAGGAATTCCTGTTTGTTTCTGTAAATATTCCCTACAAAAGTCAGAAAAGCTCATTAAGCTTTAAGTGAGTATTTGAGCCAGTGCAAAATAAAAATTCACTATATGGTAGGTAATACTTAATCAAACACTTTAAAGTGGCATGATTTATATAATAGCCTTATAAATTACTTTGACACACTATTAGTAGAATTTACCTAAAGGCATCTCTTAAATTTTTAGTTTTATTTGATTACTGATGGCAAAGGTATAACAGTTTATCTCTAATCTAGCTCTGCCTGGACATCTATGAGTCAATATAGTGCTCAGTGAACGTGGTAATCTAAGCTCCTCAGGAGGCAAACATGTGAAGATTGTGATTTGAAACCAGTCCAGGCAAAAAGTTAGTGAGAGCCTATTTGAACAAATAAGCTGAATGCGGAAGAATATGGCTAAAATACTGGCTATGTGGGAGGCAGTGGTAGGAGCCTCATGAGCTGAGGCATATAGAAGTGTAAACCTTTGCTGATAGGGTTTGGACTATGGCTTTGTGGTAGAGTGCTTGCCTTCCATGCATGAAGCCCTGGGTTCAATTCCTCAGTACCACATAAACAGAAAAAGCCAGAAGTGGTGCTGTGGCTCAAGAGGTAGAATGCTAGCCTTGAGCAAAAGAAGCTCAGGGACAGTGCTCAGACCCTGAGTTCAAGCCCCAGGAATGGCAAAAAAAACAAAAAACAAAAAAAGAAACCTTGCTGAAAAATAAAACCAAAAGGGTAAGTGACATGGTTTAAATGGTAGAGTGTTCGGGCATGAGTTAAAACCCCAATACCTTATTAAAAAAAAAGAAAAAAAATCCTTTAATGTTTATTAAATATTATCACTAAATGTTACATATAATACTGTTACTAATATGTAATATTTATTTCCTATGTAATACAATTATCCTAAGGTAATATGAGTGAGACAATGCAAAGCATTATCTATTGTAATTAAACACACTTTACCTGATCTTCTGCAATATGGACTCGTGCATAAGGAGAGTCTAGCAAAGTATGTAGGGCCTGCAGGCATGCTGTAACATGCTCAACAGGCTCCTCAGGTCTAGGGGAACAAAGAAACTGTATACTCACACCTGAAATGCATAAAATAAAAACATGGGTCTTTAACATGAAATACTTTATTAACTTTTATACCCCATTTAATATCTACTTTTAGCTAATTTTTTCAGATTACTGTAATTTGTATTTTTTAATTATTTGGAGTTAAAAATGGTTTCTAAGCAAAGCAGCCAAACTCAACATAAGATTGTAACTTTGCAATTAGATAATATTTTAAATTAAGTATGGGGGGGAGGATTTCGCATGCCATATTAGGATGATTATGAAGATCCACTTTTCTAATTTTAGGACTTTAAAAATTACAGTACATTAAGAATACATTTATGAACATTATATTACTTTTTGCCAAATAGCTGTCAAACAGCTTTGTATAAATTTGAAATTTTAAAATGTCAAGTGATACAAGCTCAGTGGATGTGCTGGGTACAATACAACCTACTCTTAATGAGTACAAGGCTAAGATTTTAAAAGTTTTTCATGTTTTCATTTATCATATCTACTGATGAATTTTTGTTGTTTTGTTTTTGTGGGGCTTGAACTCTGGGCTTGGGCCCTGTCCCTATGCTCTTCAGGTAAAGGCAAGAGCTCTACCACTTGAGCCACAGTGCCACTTCTGGTTTTCTAGTCGTTTACTGGAGATAAGAGTGTCATGGACTTTCTTGCCTGGGCTGGCTTTGAACTGTAACACTCAGATCACAGCCTCCTGAGTAGCTAAGATTATAGGCGTGAGCCACCCATGCCCTGTTGATGAATTTTATAATTACATTTAACAAATTGTGTTCCTTTCACCCCTAGAAAATATGAAATCACTGTTCTTTAGAATATGTAAATTTTTTTTTGGGGGGGTCCGGTCATGGACCTGAACTCTGGGCCAGGGTGCTGTCCCTCAGCTCTTCAGCTCAAGGCTAGCACTCTACCACTTGATCCACAATGCCACTTCTGGCTTTTTTTTCCTGCTTATGTGGTGCTGAGGAATCGAACCCAGGGCCTCATGCATGCAAGGCAAGCACTCTACCACTGAGCCACCTTCCCAGACCATCAGAATATGTAAATTCTTAAATGTTAAAAAAGAAGCACCTAGAAAGCAATAATACATTAGAATTGATTTAAATTAAACTTCTTTTCTTCATAGGACAATCTGTCACATGCCTAGTATAAAGAAAACTTTTTGAATAAAAAATATGCTTATGAGTTTTATCCCGAAAATTATTCAATACTGCCCTATGAGTGAAAATGACAGATATATATTACAGGGGTGAGCTACTGGTGCCCGGCTGAAAGCTATAACTTTTAAGAGTAGTTTTAAATTATTTAACTTTTAGGTAAAAAATCCAGTTAGGCTGGTAGCTCACACCTGTAATCCTAGCTACTCAGGAGGCTGAGATCTGAGGATCATGGTTCAAAGCCAGACCGGGCAGGAAAGTCTGTGAGATTCTGATCTCCAATAAACCACTCGAAAATCAGAAGCGGCACTGTGGCTCAAGTGGTAGAGTACTCACCTTGAGCTGAAGAGCTGAGGGACAGGGCCCAGGAGTTCAAGCCCCACAACAGACCAAAAAAACAACAACAACAAAAAATCCAGTTAACTGTAAATTGAGCAGAAAAATCCTTTGGTTATTCTGAGTTATGCTATACAAAATTTTTCCCTTGCATTAAAATTAAAGATAGGAATCTTCAGAAGTAACTTATCTTGTTTGTTTGTTTTTTTTGTCAGTCGTGGGGCATGAACTCTGGGCCCAGGTGCTATCCCTATGCAATTCAGCTCAAACATAACACTCTACCACTTGAGCCACAGCACCACTTCTGGTTTTCTGGTGGTCAATTGGAGATAAGGGTCTCATGGACTTTCCTGCCCAGGCTGGCTTTGAATCCTAATCCTAAAATCTCAGCCTCCTGAGTAGCTAAGATTTAACGCATGAGCCATTAGTGCCTGGCCAGAAATAACATTCCTTGAAACACATTCATATATCACCTTACCTAAAATCAGATGCATTCTGTCTTTGTTAATTTCTGGCAAGGATTTAGCACTTGTCATCGCTCCTGAGGCCTGGTTTAAATTAACAGTTGTAGGACGTTTTTGTAAACCAGACACCGAGGCTTCGGTGGACTCTGAACATGTAAAGCCTGTGCTATTTAGCCAAAGTGCCACTGCATGCAGGATTGGGGCCCAGGAATTCCGGTAGTGAAGTCTAGCTGTATCAATTGTCTCAGGAGTATAAAATGCTCCACCTGTGAAACAATCAAATCAATTAATGTATTTTCTATTATAAGTGTTCCTCAATTATAAGCAATTAAATCTATCTTGTTCTTGTTTTTTTGTTTGTTCTTTTTTGGGTCCGTTCATGGGGCCTGAACTCTGGGCTTGGGCGCTGTCCCTCAGCTCTTCAGCTCAAGGCTAGCGCTCTACCACTTGAGCCACTATCTTGTTCTTAACGAAAAGAAATGTGGCCAAAGAACTTCTTCCTAAACCAATCACTTTACACAGCTGTTGAACTGAAATGCCTTTGTCTCTCCCTTACTGATGCTAGCTCAGCCTTTACATAGCTAGTGCCACTAAGTATACTTACCTTTACCTTTGCTGTTGTCCCTCTTTGTCACCTCTCTTCTTACCATGATCAAGACTCTGTATTGATCTGCTTTGGTATTCTCCCCCCCCCCATCCTATTTCTACTACCAACATTCAGGATTTCCTCCTCTCTCTTTGCTGTTGGATTGGATTAAGGAAGGAGAATAAGAGAGAATTCCATCATTGTTATTAATAACTGATAAAAAGAAATGAGTTCTTTGAACATAAACTAATACCTTTACTAAACAGGAAAAATGTTCATTATGATATCAAAATGAAATCTAAAAGTACAATTTGGCAATGATTTGAGAAATACAATTCATAGCTAGATTAGGATTTATATTAAATACAATGACCAATATACAGCAGTTACTATTTTATCATGATTATATATACTGACTATGGAGAACTCCATAGTTAAGAATACCCTCAGCTATTACTATAAGCATGCTAACATTTTTGCTTTAATGGAAAATTTTCTGCTATACTATGCTGAATTGACAAATTCAGTATGTAGGATTGCCTCTAAATGAAACAGTCAAGTTTAAGTCCAAAAAATTGTTATTATCAATGCTAGCCCAAATCCTTTGCTGTTGTTGTTTAATTATTACTTTGAACTCAATAAAAGCAAAACCCTGATTGATTATAATACTTACCATCTGGGGGGAGCTGACTAGAAAATTCAGCTGGTAAAGTCAAAAGTGCATAGTCTTTCAATGCCGCCAACCAAAGGCGGCTGAGTGTTGGCAGTTCAGGTTGTACCAAGGTTATTAAACTGTCCGGTGGCAGCTCATCTATGGTACCATAGTCATCATCCTCATCATCAGTACTTTTAATAGCTCTTTTGGGTTTTGACTCTGCTTCTTTTTTAATATTCATAGCAACTACATACACCTAATAAGATATTTAAGAGGTGAAAATAACAAGGCATGAGATAAAAATGAGATCACTTAATTGTATTAATGATACAGCTGAATTATAAAAGGCAATCCTGTACAGATACTAAAAAGTAAGCAACCTTATAAATTACTAAAAATGACAGAAGAGTACTTCTATTGGTTTCAGAAACCTTTTTTTTTTTTTACCCATCTGACGGTGACTATTCCTCTCAGCATGTTTCTTGAGTAGGTTTCTCTGAGTTGTCCTGGCTTTCTGTGTTCCATTTACAAAGGCTCCTTATTTTTCTCAATAGATAACTTCCTGTCTACTGTGTCCACTTTCCTAGACTTACTAGACACAGACAGCATTCAAAGAAAAAGGCTGAGAAAAGGGAGGTGCCTAGAGGGGATTCTATAAATATCTTCCTAAACCCTTAAATGATATTTTGTGACCTAGCAATTACAACAGATAGCTGAGAATATAACTTACTAGTCACATGTATCATTTGTATCCTTTCTCTTTAGTTTTTGAACCAAAGCAACATATAATAGCAACCTACCTAAAACATAACTTTGGAGACAGAGTCTCACTATGTAACACAGTTGTCTTTGAACTAGTCAGCTGACACTGTGCTTGAACTGAAAATACTGCCCTTCCACCTAAACTGGGATTTCAAGTACAAACGTGTTGCCGTACCCAGTCCTCTAGTGAATAATTTTAAAGACTGTTCTTTGTTCAGACTGAATCAGAACTGATAAAACAAGGACAAATAATCACAGTTTTTGCTGTCCATGAACTCAGACTAACACAAAACAGGGGAGTGAGAAAAATGCTGAGAAAGAAACTTGAAAATTTGTTTCCAAGCTTAGTCTGGAGTTGTAGGCCTACAATCCTAGTATTTGGGAAGTTAAGGCAGGAAGACCATGAGCTTGAGGTCAGCATAGGCCACATAAGCAGGATCCTGTCTTAAAACAACAGAAATTGTAACTTTGTTTTTAATGATTTTCCCTACATACTCCAATGCTAGGAACAGTGTCTGGCACCAACTGAACACAGGAGGGTTTCCAAAGTGAATGAATGAATGAATCTTGAGGAACACCAATCATGGACAGATTTGAACCTTGAGAGTATGAGAAAGGCAAGGTAGAGTTTTTAAGAACAAAAGTTTACTAGATCACAGTAAAGATGGAAAGAGGAATTGAAGGCAGAGGAAACAGCAAGTACAAGAGCACAAAAATAGGAAACTGCACACAGCATTTTAAGTAAGCTCCAAGTTTTTAGTTCAGCCTGAGCACATGATGTGAAGCAGTTGAAGATATTACTTGGTGAGCAATGGACAAAGGGGGGGTGTCACTGAAGAAATTCAATGTCACATATATGTATTTAAAACTTTTTTTTGCCAGTCCTGGGACTTGAACTCAGGACCTGGGATTTGTCCCTGAGGCCTCTCTGTTCTCAAGGCTAAGCTCTACTACTTGAGCCACAGCACCTCTTCCAGCTTTTTCTGAGTAGCTTTTATTGGAGATTAAGAGTTTCATAGCCTTTCCTGCCCAGACTTTTGTTTCTTTTTTTTGTTTCTTTTTTTTTTTTTTGGTCGGCCATGGGGCTTGAACTCTGGGCCTGGGCGCTGTCCCTCAGCTCTTCAGCTCAAGGCGAGCGCTCTACCACTTCAGCTACAGCGCCACTTCCCTGCCCAGACTTTTGAAAGGTGATCCTCAGATCTCAGGCTCCTGAGTAACTAGGATTACAGGCCTGAGCCAATGGCACCTGACAAAACTTACTATTTTAATAATTATGTTAGAAAAAAAAATTGTCAAAGAAGAGTAAAAAAGGACTGAAAATCCAAATTCCCATGCTTGCATTCTGTTGGTACTACTTTTGCTGTATGGAGATTTTTTTTTTCCATTCCTGGGACTTGAACTCAGTCTGAGTGCTGCCCTTCAGCTTTTGTGCTCAAGGCTAGTGCTCTACCACTTCAGCCACAGAACTACTTCTGGCTTTTTCTGAGTAGTTTTTCTTGGAGATAAGAATCTTACACACTTTCCTTTCCAGGCTGGCTTTAAATCTGATCCTCAGATCTCAGCCTCCTTAGTAGCTAGGATTACATGCATGCACCACTGGTGCCAGGTTAAGAGCTTTTTTGCTTAAGGCTCTACCACTTTGAGCCGCAACTCTACTTCTGGTTTTTTACATAGTTAATTGGAGATAAATGTTTCATGGGCTTTCATACTTGTGCTGGCTTCTAACTATGATCCTCAGATCTCAGCCTCCTAAGTAGGTGTGAGCCACTGGTGCCCAGCTAGATTTTATTTTATAAATGAATCAAGGTCTTACTATATTGCTCAGGCTGGCTTCAAACTCATGGATTCAAGCAATCCTCCTGCTTCATCCTAAGTAGCTGGTACTTCAAAGGTATCACACCAATACTAAGTCAAGCACAGATGTTTATATCATCAAGACATAACTGTAAAGCTGAGCACTGATGGCTGACTCTGATAATCTTACTCAGGAGGCTGAAATCTGAAGGATCATGATTCAAAGTTGGCTTAAGCAGAAAAGTTCACAGCATTCCATCCCCAATAACTGGCAAAAAGCAAAGCTAAAAGGCATGGTTCAAGTCGTAGAGCAATAGTCAAGAGCAAGCGCAAGTCAAACAAGCAGGAGGCCATGAGTTCAAGCCTCAGTATAGCAAAACAAAAAAAAATGGTGTTAATTCAAAACTATTAATGAAGTTAAATAAGAATTAGTTATTGCGTGAGGTTTGAGGAAAAGGAACTAGTTAAGGCATATGTACAAACCAAAGTTCTAAAAACAGGAGGCAGGGCTGGGAAGGTGGCTCAGTGGTAGAGCGCTTGCCTTGCATGCTCAAGGCCCTGGGTTCGATTCCTCAGCACCACATAAGCAAAAAAAGAAAAAAGTCGGAAATAGCGCTCTGGCTCTAGTGGTAGAGTGCTAGCCTTGAGCTGAAGAGCTGAGGGACAGCGCCCAGGCCCAGAGTTCAGGCCCCACGACCAGACCCCCCAAAAAAATATATATAAATAAAAATAAAAACAGGAGGCAGTACCATTCATAAGGGTTCACAAATGGTACACCCTAAAGATCCAATGTTTTCTGGGGCCTCTCACTTAGTATTTAATGCCTTTTATACTGATCTATGCCAAACTTCCTTGTAAGTGAATTTAGCACATTATAGGAGTAAAGAACCAGTTCATTGCCAGGCACTAGTGGCTCATGCCTATAATCCTAGCTACCCAGGAGGCTGAGATCTGAGGTTCATGATTCAAAGCCAGCCTGGGCAGGAAAGTCCAAGAGACTCTTATCTCCAATTAGCCACCAGAAAACCAGAAATGGCACTGTGGCTCAAGTGGTAGAGCACTCATTTTGAGCAGAAGAGCTCAGGGACAGTGCCCAGGCCCAGAGTTAAAGCCCCATGACCAACAACAACAAAAAAATAAACAACAAGCTAATTGAAAAATGTCTTATATAATCGTGAAAACACATCTTAGTCTCTACATTTGGGAATATTAATTAGGAATGCTGGGGGACTAAGGATAACTATGAAATTGTTTTTTTTTTGTTTTTAACAAAAACTAAGTCAGCTACAGAGAAAAAAATGAGGAGTAAATTTCAATCTAAAATGCAGGTATTAAGAAAGAGATACTCTATTTGAAAGACAGCTTGCTCTTAGTGTAAAATTTAGAGAAAATTAAGTTCTAAGGTAGCTTATTGAGCTCTACATTTTTCTTTTCTTCCTGTGAAGAAAAGAAACTCAAGCCCCAGCAATTGTTTATCTAAACTATATCATCTGCCTACTGCACGCCAACAATTGCTATTCAGTGGTCAGAGGCTGCTGATACTAGGTAAACAGGGAAGTAAGGATGGGCTGGGCTGGCAAAGGAGGAATCAGTTACTTCAAATACAGGAGGGCAAATGATAAGAATTCAAAAGCAAGTGGTAGAATTCCTTCTGCTAGTTATATATTAAACAACATATGTGACTATGAAAATGAAAGAGGTAAAACCAGGTATTAAAAATAATTTGGCTGGGCATGGTGGTGCATGACCATATTCCTAGCACTTGGGAGACATAGGTAGGAGTAGAATCTAAGGCTTTTCTAGATTATGTAGTATAACGATATCTCAAAAAAACATAATAATCCAACAATCAAAACTCTTGCAGCCGATAAGTCAAGCTGGCCAGTCTCCTGAAATGTAATCAAATGAAAGAGTAATAGCATAACTTATTTTCTATTATTCATAATTTGGCTTTTCTTTGCCTAATTTCCTTATATGAAGTAAGGAGAGTCCTTCCTCAAAAAGTTTAAGAGAAAAAAAACAAAAAGAACACAAAAATATGATCAACAGATTTTCAAAAAGTCAAGGGTCAGCTTTTAAAAACCAAACATAATTTATCAATAGGAAAAGGGTAATGATTTTTTTTTTATTGACAAGAGAGGCATGCTTACCTCTGCCCACGCTTTGAGAACAGCTAGTTTTTCCATGGTTGTGGCACTCTCTCGGTATAGTTGGCTGGAAGAACCTTTTCCAGCCTGAACTTTATCCAGAGAAGAAACAAGCAGATTATGTACTCGACGGAGATCATTGAGATCACTGACAACTCCACTGCCAATCCATGTGCTGCATACCTAGCCAGGGAAAACATGTTTGAATTTTTATAAAAGAAACTAACATTTCATGGAAGAGAATGTAATAAATATTGTTCTCTTTCCTGAGGGAAAATATCAAAACAGAACAAAAAAAATCTACCCAATGCTATCTTTACATTATTTTTTATGACAAACCAATAGTAAGCATAGATTTTATTGTACTCCTATGAAGAAAGTAAAGTAGTATTTATTTAGTGTTTCCACTGATTAATAAAAATTTTAACAGAACTGGTTTTCTACCCAACATAGTTAAGTCTTAAATAATACTTCAACAAAATGTCTATTTACCACAGGCAAAAGGTTATGCAAGCTATTGAGTTTTTTGTTTTAAAGAAAGTGCAGATTGAGCCGGGCGCTGGTGGCTCACGCCTGTAATCCTAGCTACTCAGGAGGCTGAGATCTGAGGATCGCAGTTCAAAGCCAGCCCGGGCAAGAAAGACCGTGAGACTCCTATCTCCAATAAACCACCAGAAAAAAAAAAACCGGAAGTGGCGCTGTAGCTCAAGTGGTAGAGCGCTCACCTTGAGCTGAAGAGCTGAGGGACAGGGCCTAGGCCCAGAGTTCAAGCCCCACGGCCGACAAAAAAAAAAAAAAGAAAGAAAGTGCAGATTGAATGAATGTATGAGAATATTTTATGACTGTGACATGACAAAGAAAGAGCAGAGAGAAAAAAATAGAAATTTTTAGGAATCAGGATGATTTGTATATACAGACACAAGGGAGTTTATAGGTGGAAGAAATGGTGATTAGGAAAGTAAGTTGTTATCAGATATATAAACTTTGTATTTCACATAAACTGAGTTCAGATTTCATTCTGATCTTGAAAGCAAAAAAAAATTCACAGGATCTAAAATCCAATGAGACATATCTAGGGATAGGGCAAGGTTGATGCAAAATGTGAAGAATCAATGACTGTCAGCTTTCGACTGTCAAAGCTTTGAATGTGGATGAATGGAAGCAGTGACACTACTGTGTAAAAAATCTAATTCAGGAAAATGGGAAAGTTTAATGGAGACAATAAGTTACCATGATTTTGGTTCCAAATGTTTTTACAGGCTGAGTTCTAAATGCCACTAAAAAAATGTGTGGATAGACATTCAGCAGGCAGTTGGAAATTTGGGTCTGGATTTTAGAAACAAGTTCAAGGGTAAATAAATAAACTTAGGAATTTCCACACAAAGACAATAACTAATGTACTACTACTGGGTAAATATTCTTAAGATAGGAGTCTCTTAAAAAAATTAAGATAGCAGTCTCTTTTTAAACCTTTTAAAAGCCAAAGCATAGGGAAATGGTTATATTTAAGGGACAACTGGAACAAGCATAAACAGAGAAACTGAAACCCCTAAAGCAAAGGAAAATCAGGCAAGCACAGTGATATTAGACCCAGGCAAGAATTTCACGTGGGAAGACATTGAGTTTCTGATAAAGTCAGTTAGGTCAAGAGTGATTACAAGTCCTTACTTTCTTATCTGAAATCCGTAGGTCAAGATATGTCTCCCAATTTTGGGTAAAAGGTAACAGGGTACATGAGCCTCACTAGGGAATATACTTAAAAAGTCACATGGTGGGATCACCTAATAATTAACACATTGGTATTTTGCAAAGAGATATATAAGGAATTATCCTCAGAGACATTAATCAATACTGTAATCCGACTTCAGGAGCCAATGAGAACAAGACTTCTCAGATCTTATTGTGAAATCAAAAAGCTTTTGGCTTTCAAAAAATTGCTAATGGACTTCAATACTTAAAACTTTAAAAAAGAAGTCAAGAATAAGTATTCACACAATTTTATTATCTCACAATTTCGTGTGCGTGCACACGTGCGTGTACGTGCATCTGCATGTACATGCCAATCCCAAAGCTTGAACTCTGGGCCTGGGCACTGTCTCTGAGCTTTTTTTTCTCAAGGCTGACAATCAAGCCACAGCTTCATTTCCAACTTTTTGTGGTTAACTGGAGATTTAATGCAATACTCAGACCTCAGCTTTCTGAGTAGCTAGGATTGCTAGTACTCAGCCTAAAGTATTCACAATTACATTTAATAAAATAAAGACACAAACTATATTAAGGACAAACCATTGGCAAAATAAAACATTAGTCAATATATGCCGAAAATATAGTGAAATTCAAGATGAAATATCAAATATGACTATGAAAAGAAAGAACTGTGATTCTTGTGTGTGTGTGTGTGTGTGTGTGTGTGTGTCCCCGTCCGTTGTGGGGCTTGAACTCTGGGCTTGGGAGCTGTCCCTGTGCTCTTCAGCTCGAGGCTAGCGCTCTACCATTTGAGCCACAGCACCACTTCCGGTTTTCTGGTGGTTTATTGGAGATAGAGTTTCACAGACTTTCCTACCCAGGCTGGCTTTGAACTGCGATCCTCAGATCTCAGCCTCCTCAGTAGCTAGGATTACATGCATGAGCCACCGGCGCCCTGCTAGAACTGTGATTCTTATGGAAATTAAAATTAATCTACTGAACAGTTTGATAATATTTCTGTGAAATTTGGTAGAAACATAACTAAATTTGAGAACAGTTGTATAGATTCTGAACTTGGCATTAAGCTAATCTTTCAAAAATATTAAGTACTTTCTCTGCTTTAAAGAAATTTTTAACTAGAAATTGCAGATAGTGCAATCCAGACTTGGTATATGAAAAAAGACAGTGTAACACTAAATCAGCAAAATTATATCCAGAGAAATGATCTTTGCCTTCCACCAAAGGGTTAGCAAAATGCATAAATTTTAACTTGAAATGAAATATTTAAGAATGTACTGTTTGATTCTGATCTTATTTTAAATTATTTTTTGCTAACCCATTGATTACTGTTTCTAGTTACACTATATTTGAAGATCTATAAGAAGAATTACTTTCTATATGGAAGAAATAGTTGTACTGTCATAGAATTCTCATAGAATTCACAAACTTTATAGACCAAGATAATGACAATTTGCCTTGTGAAGGTTAAAATGTGTTTGTGACTTTAACTAAGTTGTCACTATCCTATAATACGGTGAAATTTTTGAAATTTATGTAATCAATCTCAATAAAAATTATTTTTAAAAATAAGAATTACTTTGATTTTAAGTTGTTTGAAGGTGACATTTATGACCACAAACAAGCTGGGATACCTTGTAAGGCAATTCCTTCTTGCCCTAAAGCAACCCACTGCCCCATCTGCCTTGCATAACAGGAGTAGAAGTCATAATTTGTGTGTGTGTGCGCGTGCGCACACGTGTGCACGCGCACACACACACGCCAGTCCTGGGCTTGCTTAGGGCCTGGGCACTGTCCCTGAACTCTTTTGCTCAAGGCTCTATCACTTGTGCCACAGCTTCATTTCTGGAAGATAAGAGTCTCATAGACTTTCTTGACCCAGCTGGCTTCAAGCTGAGATCCTCAGATTTCAGCCTCCTGAATAGCTAGGATTAATTACAGACGTGAGCCACTCAGTTTCTGGTAGAAGGTCATAAATTTAAACCTGCCACTAGGAAAGAAGTTTCTGTAGAAAAAGCAGCTAGCACCACACAATAAATACAAATTTTAAGGAAAACTGAATGACAGAAAATTTTCATACTACTAATGTATAAGATGAAATTCTAGGGGCTGGGAAGGTGGCTCAGTGGTAGAGCGCTTGCCTTGCATGCATGAGGCCCTGAGTTCGATTCCTCAGCACCACATAAGCCAAAAAAGCCAGAAGTGGTACTGTGGCTCAAGTGGTAGAGAGCTAGCCTTGAGATGAAGAGCTGAGGGACAGAGCCCAGGCCCAGAGTTCAGGCCCCACAACTGAAAAAAAAAACAAAAAAAATTACCTCACCAAGATGAAATTCTAATAATAAGTAACTTTGTAGGAGATTTTGTCTGCTTAAAGACTACGCAGTGAAAACATCATCATGTTATTTAGAGGACTGATTTTTTTTTTTGGTGTGTATGTGGGGGGGGGGGACCAGTTGTGGGGCCTGAACTCTAGGCCTGGCCGCTGTTGCTCAGCTCTTCAGCTCAAGGCTAGCGTGTTCTACCACTTGAGCCACAGTGCCACTTCCAGCTTTTTTCTTTACTAATTAGCTTCAAAACCAAAAGCACTCCGACATTGCTCCTGATAACCATACTCAGCTTAATTTTTCCTTCCTTTTCTCTAATTCTGGGCAACCACTAATCTGTCCATCTCTAGAATTTCAAAAATGTGATATGAATGGATTCCATTCAGTATAAACTCTCAGGAGGCTGACTCTCTTCTTTCTTGAAGAGAAATCCTAAGATATCAAAAAATCTATAGAAAACAACAGAAAGCCTCTTACCTGGCAAGCTTTTGCTATTATATCTGATGGAGTATCTTGTGAAAATGCTGGTCTTAGAGCAGCTCCCACCTACAATAATAAATGAAGCACTTTGTTTGTAGAGGTAAGTAGAAAGCACAAAGCCTCTGTGTCAGGGGAGATGAGAACACACAACACTCACTTGCCCCTTCTCTCTTACCTATTTTTACTTCTAAGAAATTCAACTATACCACTTGTCTTTGCTTTCTAGGTTATAATGTCAGATATATAGGAATCCTACATCTTGCTTACATTTCTCTTGTTTTTGTTTAATAGTAAACAGGATAGTCTTACAGTCACAGGTTGCCAGAGATAACTAAAAATAGCTATTTTGTTAAGGATATCCCTTCCAACATCTACATTTTCATTTTTGTTTATTTTAATTAGTATATGTTAACTGTACAAAGGAGTTTGGCTATAATATTTCCATGCATACATGTAATATACTTTGATCAAATTTAACCCTTCTTACTCTTTCTTATATCCCATTTTTTTTTTACAATTTTCAGGGAATTCTATATTCTATTTTCATGTGTATAAAGTACTTTATCTAAAAATGTTTCTAATGTCATTTATATATTTTATGGATAAATCTCACATATACAAACTCATTACTTAAATGAAAAGACCTTCAAGATAACTTCATTTCTAATAAAGATATGCTTTAAAAAGATGCTAAAATGTGTTAACTTAGGTATTACTGTCATATAAATAACAGATATAAACTTAAGTTTTAAATAAGCTAATGTCAGTCATAAATTGTAAGATATATATGAGGTTTACTATGTATGAACTGAATAAAGAAACTAAATATGGCCATCTCATAAGTGGGTATTCCTGTTCTTATACCTAGTCACTAAGGCATATTATTCATTATCTGACTTATATAATGGTAACCCCTCTGTACATCAACTTTATAATAAAAAATAAACTTATTCAAAAAACAGTAATGTGGAAATGATCAAAAGTCCATCTCTATGATTAAAGACACATGGTAACTAAACACAATAGATGAGCTGGTACTAGAGGAGAAAAAAATAGTATGAAAGATCTTTGGGTTCACGAAAAACAAAACTGGAATAGATTTAATAAAAATAATAAACATTTCCTGAGGTTAATAACTGTTCTTTGGTAATGTAAGACAATGTTCCAATGTTCTTGTTCTCTGGAATACAAATCAGCATTCAAGGACAAAAGTACATGATTTAAAATTTTTAGAAAACAATTGTACAGATGTAGAAAGAGTAAGGAAAAAGAAGAGAAAGGACAGAACCAACAATCAAGCAATACAAAATCAATTGGTAAATAGGAATAAAAGGTATAAAATAACTTTTGATTATTCATGCATGTTTTGTATAAATTTGAAATGATTTCTAAAGAAAGGCTTAAAAAAACCCCATCATTCTATGTAGGATTAAACAACTGCAAACAGGTTTTCTACATAGGGTCAGGCTATAGGCTCAGAATTCCTCACCTATTACTTGTGATAGAAAAGCAATAGATTATATATTATTCACATAGATCATTTTGTGTGTATGAGCTGAGGGACAAGATCAGCTGGAACCAGATTTTGGCATAATCTCACAGAAGAATGATGCTATTTTATCTGTTAATGTAATGTTTGTGTACTTTCAGAAACACTTATCCTCCACCATTGCTAAGTCTAATTTATTACACCACAGGAAAAACATCTGGAAAAAATAGTCTATCCTTTAGAATAAAATACAATAAAAATCTTTTGAAAGTATCAAATTATTTTAGTAATACCCTTGTGTTGCTATAAGTCAGCTTATCCTTCAGTACACAGGGGAAATTGCTTTTTTATTTCGAAAGCTGCTTATCAAGCCTTGTCATATAAAAATAATGGCTGTAAGCCCACAACATGCCTTTGAATGTTCCTTTTATCTTTTGAGTGGCACAACTAAATATCTAAACACAGGGCAAGACTTTCTATTCTAGTTGTATCACTAATACTCTGTCACAGCTTAAAAATAGTGACAACAGGTTGACACTCTTCTTTAACTGTGGGTTGAATGGAACTATGAAGCACATTTTGGAAGTAATGGTATGTTTTTTACACAAAAAAAGAGATTACAGTTCCAAATATATCACTTCAGGGAGTCTTCACTCCTTTTACAGTCCCTCAAAAGATCAATTTCAAGTTTATAAGTAAGTACAAATCTCACATTAGCTTGATACTGCTCCAGAATCACATGACCTGGAAATTCTGGTTCAGGCACAGATGCAAATTTCTTGATAATGTCTTCAAGAGCTTGGAGTCCAGCCATCCGCAGCTGGTTGCTGTGATCAGTTGCAGCCATGAATGCCATTCGAATAAGGTCAGAGAGATGAAGTACCAAGAGGTCATCTAAAAATAAAAATGAAATGCAAAAAAGACTATACAAAAAAATTAGTACAACGCAAACATGAAATAAATTCCTGATAAAAGCATTTGTAAGTCCGGTGCCAGTGGCTCACGCCTGTAATCCTAGCTACTTAGGAGGCTGAGATCTAAGGATCAATGTTCAAAGCCAGTCCAGGCAGGAAAGCCCCGAGACTCTTTTTTTTTTCTTTCTTGCTATTGTTTTTAATGTACTTATAATGCAATATGAGATTCTTTTGTTTCTTTTGTATGTTCTTCCCCTACAGTATAACCCCTGTTCTCACTGTATTTGACTCCGGTGCCCTGCATCTTGTATATACATTTTTTTTTTCTAATTTGGGAAGGGGAAGGGATAAAACAAAATGCTGAAATATGGATACAGATTGACCCATTGTAACAATGAGATGTACAAGACACTATGTTGAGGGGCTGGGAAGATGGCTCAGTGGTAGAGCGCTTGCCTTGCATGCCTGAGGCCCTGGGTTCGATTCCTCAGCACCATATAAGCAAAAAAAAGAAAAAAGCCGGAAGTGGCACTGTGGCTCAAGTGGTAGAGCGCTAGTCTTGGGCTGAAGAGCTGAGCGCCCAGGCCCAGAGTTCAGGCCCCATGACCGGACCCAAAAAAAAGACACTATGTTGAAAATGAACTTTACAATTTTGGGGAGGGGAGGGAGGAGTTGGGGAGGTGGGGAAGGAAGGGATGGCGGGGGAAAAACAAAGGAGGTCACAATGCTCAATGGGAAATGTACTCATTACCCAATTCATGTAACTGTAAGCCCTCTGTACAGTGTTTTTACAAATATATATATATATAATGTTCTTGAATCCAGATTGAGATACTTAGACTCTGAATGACAGGGGAGGACTTTGCTTTTTTGCCAATAGGCAGTAGAATGGCTAGTGTGTGTCTTTGAGTAATGAAGAGTTAATTTGCCTGGTGCCAATGGTATCTTGTGCCTGTAATCCTAGCTACTTAGGGTGGCTGAGATCTGAAGATCACAGTTTAAAGCCAGCTAGTCCCGAGACTCTTATCTCCAATAAGCCACCAGAAAACCAGAAGTGGCACTATGGCTCAAGTGGTAGAGTGTTAGTCAAGAGCTGAAGGACGGCACCCAGGCCCAGAGGTCAAGCCCCATGACCTTTAAAAAAAAAGGCATTTATAACCCACAAATTTCATATTGCAAAAAAAAGATAATCTTTTGTGAAAATTTCTGTATCAGTGTTCCCAGAATAGTAGTTATACTATTCAATGTTAACATGGATAACTATAAGATATACTTTGACATCTGAAGCAAAATATTTAATTAATATAACTGTCTCTCCAAACAAGACCATTCTTTTAGAACATAGGTTGGCAGAATCATATAAAGGACCAGATACTAAATATTTTTGGTTTTGCAGGTTATATCATTCCCTCCCGCCCCCTTTTCTTCCCTTCCTCCCTCCTTCCCTCTGTCTCTCTCCCTCTTCCCCCCCCCCCTCCTGTTCCTGGGGCTGATCTAAGAGCCTGGGCACTGTCCTTGAGGTTTTTTTACTCAAGGCCAGTGCTCTATCACTTGAACCATAGATCCCCTTGCAGCTCTTTTACATAGCCAATTGGAGATAAGACTTTCCTTTTGTAGCTGGCTTTGAACCACAGTCCTCAGATCTCAGACCCTAAGTAGCTAGGATTACAGGCATGAGCCACCAGCACCTGGCTAGGACATATCATTTCCAATATAACTATTCAATTCTGGTGTTTTACAATACAAAAGCAGTCACCACTGATATGTAGATTCAAAAGTATGCTGAGTTCCAATAAACTTTATTTACAAAAACAGCTGTGGGCTAGATGCAAACTACAGTCAGATTCTTCCAATTCTGACTTCAGAAAAATTCAAATATGTAGTCAAGAAACCTAAGCCCACGAAATGGAAAGAAAAAAATCCTAGGAGAATAGAAGTAGAAAGGGAAAGCTTTTCTTTTAGCCCTAGAGTAAAACCTATTCTAGATATTGCTTAAAATTAGGTCCCATTGGAATTCAAATAATACAAAGTGCAATAATTAAATTACATCCCACAACACAGTTCAGTGCTACTAAAGAAACAAAGATTTAGCACTTACATAAATTCTACAATGTCTGGCAACTAAAAAAACTTACCAAATGTAGAGGAATAAATCTCACAACAGAGGAAAAAAATTACTGGAAATATAAATTTAAACAAATATATGTATCTGTAATCTATCCACCCACTCATCTACCAATCTATCCATCCATTCATCCGTGCGTCTTTGGATCACCTTCTTCAACTTTTCCTCCAAATGGGGTGAATTGATAAACAGAAGACAGAAAATTAAGGTAAAAAGCAAGGCAACTAACAATCAATGAAAGGCGTAGGCCAAAAGCATGCTACATAAATATACCTAAAAAGATACTTTGAAGAAAAGAAGTATAGATTTTATATTTACTTTTAGGATTTCGTAGTTTAGCAGAACGCGCCATGGCAAGATCAAAGTGAGCCTGGTCTGCATTCTCACATAGATGGATGATTCGACAGAGGCAATCTGCAGCAAATACCCGAGTAGCCCAGCGAGGTGCCACAAAAGGCTTTGACTTATCTTCTTCGCCTAGTGTGGTAAACATGGTATCGTCGTCCATCTCATCTTTCTTTTCAGATTCTTCATCTTTTCCACTACTGAAGGGAGTTGCAGTACTCATATCTAAAATGAAAATAAAGATGATAGCACCACACATACAGGAAAAAAATGGTGCTATAGAGCAGCATTAATTCTCAAAAACGAGGAAAGGATAAATTACCAATCTGAATATCTATACACTGTTATGCTACAAAGAAACCTGGTGGGGTGGGGGTTTTTTTGTTTTTTTTTTTTTTTGGTCAGTCATGGGCCTGAACTCGGCCTGGGCGCTGTCCCTCAGCTCTTCAGCTCAAGGTGAGCATTCTACCACTTGAGCTACAGCACTACTTCCGACTTTTTCTGTTTATATGGTGCTGAGGAATCAAACCCAGGGCCTCATGCATGCAAGGCAAGCACTCTCCTACTCACCTTCCCAGCCCTTAAACCTGGTATTTTAAGGTATTTAATGTAGTTTCCGCTTTCAAATATTTTGAAATACATTTCAAAAAGAAAGGAAGCCGGGCACCGGTGGCTCACACCTGTAATCCTAGTTACTCAGGAGACTGAGATCTGAGGATCACAATTCAAAGCCAGCCCGGGCAGGAAAGTCTGTGAAACTCTGATCTCCAATAAACCACCAGAAAACCGGAAGTGGCACTGTAGTCAAGTGGTAGAGCACTACCCTTGAGCTGAAGAGCTGAGGGACAGCACTCAGGCCGAGTTCAAGGCCCACGACTGACAAAAAAAAAAGGAATCTGAATTCATTTGGAATATAATTTTAACTTTTACTATTTTTACAAAGATTCATAGATGAAAATGATGAGTATTTTTAAATATAACTACAAATTTACATAGCTATATATACCTATATGTATCATTATATGCTTGTATATTTGTCAGAAGCATCATTTTTTAAGAATTTATATATACTTATTAAATACATACCACTAGAAGCTGCCAGCACATCTTTACAAAGCATTAACCAATGGGAAAGTTTTTCTACTGCCAGCGATGAAAGCATATGCCCCAGTGTGTCATGAATATCAGAACATAATTTCCTATCTGTCTCCCGATCAAGCATTCCAAACAGAAGTCCTTCAAGGCCAGTTTCTGTTATATTAACACCCTGGTGTCGGCAATGGATGTCACTTTGAGAACTAACCCCAGGTGCAAAAGGATTGACATCTGAAAAGGAATTTGTACAAATGAATTTATATGAGATTTTGTTGTGCTACAGAGAACAATAATGCTAAAAACTAAATCTTACGTGTAATTTCACAATAGCAACAAAATCAGAAATTTAAAAATACAACTACTGTCTCTCTCTAGTTCATATATTTTAGAATTAAAATTGTCAACTTTAATCTGACAATAAGGATAAAATCCTGGTTTATAAGAATATTCAATATTCAAACTGAAAAATTTAAGCAAAGAGAATATAGACAAAGAAGAAAACTTACTGCCACTACTGCTCTCTTTATCCCCTGCATTTTTGGCGAGACTCATGGCATATTCACAGACTTCAGCTGCTTCTCTCTGTGCAAGTTGCCGGAGACAAGCCACAGCTGCCCGTCGAAGTAACAAATGGGAACTACATAAGTGAACCTGCAAACCATAACAATTCAGACAATTATTTAAGCTGAAGTTCTTTAACACACTTACCCAATTAATATGTATGAGATAAAACCTCTATTTGTCAAGAAGCTCCTCCTTTAGCGATCGCAGTTGTCTAAAATATAATAAAAATGGTATTTTGACAAAATAATAGCATTAATCTACTTAGATGAAAATGCAGAAGTACTTTTTGCCCATGTTTTTTAATTTTATTTTTTGTAAAGATGCTGTACAAAGAGGTTACAGTTACATCAGTAAGGTAATGAGTACATTTCTCATCAAGTATTATTACCCCCTCCTTTGTTTTTCTACTATCCCTTCCTTCTCCCTCCTCCCCCATTTCTCCCCTCCATCTCATTTTTATACATATATCTGGCTGTCTTCTAAAATTTTTAAACACACAAAACTCAAATGTAAGTAACACCAAAAAAAAGAAAAAAAAATCTCAACTGCCTGCCAGAACAGAAAATACTCAGAGTAGTACTTGTTCATTTTCAAAAACATATTACAATATATTTAATACTTTTATGTTATTTAATAAAGATTATTGAATAATTTATCTCTCAATACATTTGCTAAAGAAAATCACATTTCGTTTGTTTTAGGCATTACAAACAATATCACACAATATTGCCATTTCTGAGGTAATGGCATGAAAGTTTTAAACATCTGTATTTTTTCATTTCTTTAAATAAGCCCATGTATGTAGACTATTTTTCTTAGTAAGCATCAAAGTATCTGATTAATGAAGACAGCATGAGAGACTATTGGCAAGTTCCAAAGAGACCATCAGTTGAATGGCCCTTTTTTCATGTTTAGTCTGCTATGTTATTTCCTCATCAGCTGCCTATAATCTTCCCACACAGTCTTTTGGAGGAGGTTCAGGAAAGTGCTCCAATATGCCTTGTAATAAAATCCTTGATGTTCCACTAAGGAAATCAACTTGGAAACATTATAGTTTGCTACCATGGAGGAAGCTCAATGTATAATATGTGGCTTACTGATAAACACCACTGTAATGCGTATTAAGTCCTGTTATTACTTTATTAGATCTTCTTGTGCTCTGTGTTATCAGGTTCACCTCCACAGAATGAGAAAGGAACCAGACAATTTAGGAGTGAATATCTGCATTTGAATTGCATCAGGTACTTATCAAGTCTATCTTGCTCAAGAGATGCCATCTATGTCCTCAGAATTTGTATCAGACAATGGCTTTTGGAAGGATATTTAATATCTTGTTACATGTGCAATCTAATACATACTAGTAGTTGGTAATTTTCTTGTAGATATCTTTTGTAAACATGTCATGTACATTTGGTACTGCCTGTGGCTCACTCAAACTCCTAAGTGGTCCAAGATAGACTGAATTCCTCCTAATATAAAGGAAAACAGGAGCAAATCTTATTGAGTAAAGCCACACTAAATGTACCTACTCTTAACCTTCCTATTACCCTGAATGGCCTTTTCCTCTTCTCACCACAGCACTATCCTCCCCTGGTTACAGGATGTTTCAGAGCTCTCTTCTCACTGGATCTCTTGACTGGCTGACTGGTTCTACGAACAACTGGCTTCTATGAACAACATAACCTCTACCTTTCCTTTAATCTCTCCTTCTCCTTTGTTTGCTTCTCTCTTTTCTAAATCATCTATGCTCTCTTTTTCTAAATCTTTTTTTTTTTTTGGTTGGTTGTAGGGCTTGAACTCTGGGCCTGGGCACTGTCCTTGAGCTCTTTAGCTCAAGGCTAGTGTTCTACCACTTCAGCAACAGTACCACTTCCATCTTCTATTCTCTTATATCTTACTTTTTCCTACATTTCCAGTGGCCATCTAAATGCTTATTCACCCAAACTTACTTCTCTTGCCAGATCTCTATTTTTCTGAGCTCCAGCCCTGTGTAACTATTCACATGGCTAAAACTGCATTACAGATATCCCAACTTTCTCCTCAAAGTTAACCAAATCTCAGAAAATTTCATTACAATGGTCAAATCAGAAACCTAAACCTTTTCCTTTTCTCAATGTCCCTTTTCTTCTTTCAATAGCCAATTGATGAACAAATTCTGTCAAATTTACTTCCTAAATACCATCCAAATCCACTTAATTTTCCTTATTATTACAACCAGCTCAGAGCAAAGCATTATCACCTCCATGGTAGAACATCATAATTTTTACCATACAGAGTCCATTTTCATCAGGCAGAAAGAATCAAATGGAAAAGGTACAAATCTGATTAAGTTATTCCTCTGTAAAAAAACCTTCCTAATGTTTTTCCTTTGCTTATACAATAAAGTATAAATTTATACTATGTATAGAAATCCTGCATAATCTTCCATCTGCTAATTACCTTGATTCTTGCGGCCTGGGATTCTCCTCTTCTCTCTGGCTTAACTACTTAGTTAACTACTTAGTTAAGCCTGAGAGAAGAGGATGAATTGCTTCTTTAAATGTATGTCACTTGAGAACCTTGAATTGTTATTGTCCCCTCTGACTACAAATAAATGCTGTCTAAAATCGTGCCCTTAATGATTAACTGCAAATTAACTCCTATTTTGTAAATTGTACCCCATGGAGTTTTTTCAGAAGTCATATCTTAAACTAGATTATGACATGACCCGACCTATATTCTTTGCTAGCTCTTATCTTGTTTGTAAATAGCTATTGTTATTTTCTTTGTAACTATAAATCTTACTATGACAATAGTTTGATCTCATCTCACTCACAAACGCACCTCCAATACTCTGGTTTCTGAGGCTATTAGTAAATATCTGTTAAATGAATAAATTGATGACTGTAATGACAGCTACAGAATCTCAGAAGTTACCAATCAAGCTTTAAGAAATAAAATTTTAAAAAGCAAGACTATTTGTGACCCATTCTTAGTTAAGAAACAAACAGTTGACTGAAGTATTTTTTAGAAGGCTTAAAAAGAGCTGGGTGCAGTGACTCACACCTGTAATCCTAGCTATTGAGGTTGTGGTCTGAGGAACAAGGTTTGAAGTCAGCCTAGGTAGGAAAGTCTGTGAGACTCTTATCTCCAATTAAACACCAAAGAGCCATGAGTGGACCTGTGGCTCAAGTGGTAGAGCACTAGCCTTGAGAACAAAAGCTGAAGGACAGTTCCCAGGTTCTGAGTTCAAGCTCTAGAACTGGCACACAAAAAAGGCTAACCTGTGAATAAAACAAATAGTTATGAAATGATTATTGATGCCTATGCCTCAGAACTCACAACCAAGGAAATGTATTTTCTTTTGATCCAGTTTGTTCTCTTTGGAAAGAAATGTAAAGGCTCCCAGAATAAATCAGTGAATAAAACAGCTTTATACTTACACAAAGGCTAGGAACAAGACTGGATAGGTTGACATGTCGTGGGGCAAACATATGCAGCTGCTGAAGGCAAGAGATGGCAGCTGCCTGAACAAGAGAGTCAGAATGGTCCTGGGTGATTGCACAACCCACCAGACAAGAAGAACGAATAGTAGAAATTGTTGCTCCATTTCCTAGTAGAAAAATGAAAGAAAAAGTAAAGTACAATTATTTTATTAGTATCACTAAAACACCACCTAGAAAATAATTACCTTCTAAATAACCCTTTGTTCTAATTATTACATAGACTTTAAAAACCAAAAGTCTGCAAAGTTCATGAAAGTAACTGTAAAACACAACTGTATTTGGGTAACAAAAATACATCTGCCAGCACCGGTGTTTCACTCATATAATTCTAGCTACTCAAAAGAACTTAGATCTGAGGATTGAGGTTTGAAGCCAGCTGGGGCAGGGAAGTCTGTAAGACTCATATCTTCAATTAACCACCAAAAAGCCAGAAGAGCTATGGCTCAATTGGTAGATTAGCCAGCCCTGAGCTGAAGCCCCAGGACTGGAACTAAAACAACCCATCTGTCTTTTATTTAACAATATATATATATATATATATATATATATACACACACACACACACACACACACACACACACACACACACATATACACACACATATTTCTGATAAATGATTTTATTTTTACAAATGTTACTGCTTTATTTTAAAAAGCTAAATTTTGAAAAGCCAGTTTTCCCATTCTCTGTTCAACTATTACTATTACTTCCAATACATAACTTCAAATATTTTTCTGATAAGATTAATTAAAATTTTGCTGGACTCCAGTGGCTCACACATGTAATCCTAGCTACTCAAGAGGCTGAGATCTGAAGAACGCAGTTCAAAGCCAGCCTGGGCAAGAAAGTCCATGAGACTCTTATCTCCAATTAATCTCGAGAAAACCAGAAGTGGTACTGTGGCTCAAGTGGTAGAGCACTTGCTTTAAGCTGAAGAGCTCAGGGACAGCACCCAGGCCCAGAGTTCAAGCCCCACAACCAACCAAGAAAAAAAAAGATTAATGAAAATTTCTACAGAATCGGGAAAATTTTATTGTATACTGCATATATAATAATTTGATTATTAAATATAAGTTTAATAATTTTTTCATTGTACATACATATAAATATCATCTTAGGAGAACAAAGAATGAATCATATATACATATATAATCTTGGGAAAGTTCTTAACCTCTTCCAATATTAGTGCTTCATTTGAACAATTGGGATAATGTGTGTTTCTGCACTATCAGAATTAAATGAAGTAAATATTGATGAAAAGCTTGTCTGAAGGACTGGAGGCCTAGGGCAGATGGGAGCCTGAGCAAAAGTATCAGACCCAGGCTAGGATGTATGTAGCTCAGTGGCAAAATGCTTGCCTAGAAAGTGCAATGTCTTCTTCAATTCACAGTACCAAAAAAGAAAAGACAAAAAATAAAAAATGTGCCAGGCGCTGGTGGCTCACGCCTGTAATCCTAGCTACTCAGGAGGCTGAGATCTGAGGATGGCGGTTCAAAGCCAGCCCGGGCAGGAGAGACCGTGAGACTCCTATCTCCAATAAAACCACCAGAAAACCGGAAGTGGCGCTGTAGCTCAAGTAGAAGAGCGCTCACCTTGAGCTCAAGAGCTGAGGGACAGCGCTCAGGTCCAGAGTTCAAGGCCCACGACTGACAAAAAAAAAAAAATGCAGTTGAAAAAAAAGCAGCAGACCTGAGTTCAAGTACCAGTCAAGGAAAGAAAAAAAAAGCTTTTCCCATTGAAAGCATTTAATAACTGGGAGAGTGGGGGAAAAGGGAAAATTCAAAACAAACTTTATATATTCATATTCAGTATACATTCACAAGAAACTGATTTCAGTGTTTAGCCATTGATAGAATTAGTTCTGAGCAGTAAGAATAATACAAATGTATCACTCATCTGCTAACACTAGACAAATGATCTTCTCTGAGCTTTCCTCCCCATAGAAAAATAAGGTACTATTACCTGCTTCATAAAGGAGTAATTTTTCAAACTATGTTCCTGACACTGTGTTCAAAACCAGAGTGAATCAAACTCCATGAAAACAAATAGAAACTTGTTTTATTTGACTTTCAATGGATCCTAAGTAAAATTTCATTGAAAAAAATGTTTTAGCTCCTTTAAAATTTAAAAAATACCTGCATGGAATAGGTATGTTGTACACATTTTTTAAAAATAGCAAAGGCAAAATGTTGTGTGCTAGAACTTAAAAACAAAGATATTCAGTAGATTAAAAAAATTATCACAAGCTGGGTGCTGGTGGCTCACACCTGTAATCCTAGCTACTCAGGAGGCTGAGATCTGAGGATCATGGTTTAAAGCCAGCCCAGGCAGGAGAGACCATGAGACTCCTATCTCCAATAAACCACCAGAAAACCGGAAGTGGCGCTGTAGCTCAAGTGGTAGAGCGCTGGCCTTGAGCTGAAGAGCTGAGGGACAGCGCTCAGGCCCAGAGTTCAAGCCCCATGACCGACAAAAAAAAAAAATTATCACAAAATGTCTTCAAGCAATGTGATATCAGCATTCAGAATATTAAAAAAAATAGCTATCACCTAGTTTCTTTAAGATAGTTTTACTTACCTTGAAGTTCAGGGCCAACAGTAGTTATGATAGCACCCAAACATCTCCCAAGACACTGATGTACTTCTGTATGTGAAGGAGGAACTGTGAGCAACAAGGTAAGAACTAGAGATAACGTGGGCTCCACATAGCCACGATACATTGGGCCACTCGAATCCACTATCAAGGCGAGTGAATGAAGAGACCAAGTCTAGAATGAAATTCAACTATTTCAGTTATAAGGAAATGAGAACAAACTGAATTAAGTATACTGAATTGTTACATCCTTGTATCCTTTCATATTTTTAGCACATTAACATGAACTTGGAAACCATGATTATAGTCTACTACAACACATGCTTCAACGCTCACTGGGGTTATACTTATTTGCATGTGTTATGTAAGGAGAAACATAAAGACAAAAGGAAATTTAGAGGAAGGGGAAATAAAAAGATGGTAACTAAAAAACTTGAGCCAAGCACTGGTAGCTCATGTCTGCAATCCTAGTTACTTAGGAGAATGAGCCTGAGGATTTCAGTTTAAAGCCAGCTCAGGCAAAAGATTCAATGAGGTTCCATCTTCTTAATAATTGGAGGCATGGCTCAAGTGGTTGAGTGCTAGCTGAGCAAGTGAGCTGAGCTAGTTCAAAGCTGTGGATTAAAAACCCAGTACCTGAATTGGGGGAGGATTCATCAAGCTAACAATGTAAGCAAATACAAAAAAAGAAAAACAAATTCAAAGGATAATAAAGTAATAAAGCAATAATTCTAGTTTAAGTGAAGGCTGGGTGCCAGTGGCTTATGCCTGTAATCCTAGCTAGTCGGGAGGTTGAGATCTGAGGATCACAGTTCAAACTGGCCTGGGCAGTAAAGTCTGTGAGCAATGAGGAGTTTTGTTGCATATTGTCTTGATCTCCTAACAGAAAATGTAATTCAGAAATTAATGACCTCTGCTGAATGTGCCATGACTATGATGTCACAGTAAGTAAACAATTACAACAGGGCACCATCTTGTTTTATGTATTGACAAATTAAAATTTAATTTAAGCATATTTTATACTTCCTTTAAGAGTCTTATGTAGAAATCACACAAAATTGAATTTTTGCAAAAATGACTTTAAGAATTGTATTTCTGAGTAAATTGAAGTACAAATGTAAGCCAAGTGCCAACGACTCACACCTGTAACCCAAGCTACTGAGGAGGCTGGGATCTGAGGATCTTAGTTCAAAGCCAGCCTGGACAGGAAAGTCTGTGAGACTTTTATCTCCAATTAACCACTAGAAATCTGGAAGTAGTGCAGTGGCTCAAAGTGGTAGAATGTTAACCTTGAGTAAAAAAGCTCAGGGACAATGCCCAGGCCCTGAGTTCAAGTCCTATGACAAACAAAAAAATATATAATTTGAGTGAAAAGTAAAATCTTGTCAATATTCTATTACAAATAATGTTTTGTTCTAAAACAAAATAAAAGAACAAGAACATAATACATCTTTCCAAACAACTTATCAATGTCACTATTATTTTATAGAGCAAATAATTTTCCTAAAATCATTATTAAAAGTGTTGGTTTTTTTTTTTACCAGTCCTGGGCCTTGAACTCACGGCCTGAGCACTGTCCATGGGCTTCTTTTGCTCAGGGCTAGCACTCTACCACTTGATACAGTGACACTTCTGCTCTTCTCTGTGTATGTGGTACTGAGGAATTAAACCCAGGGCTTCATGAATGCTAAGCAAGCACTCTACCACTGCGCCACATTCCCAGCCCTAAAAGTTTTTGTAATTAAAAAAATACATCTCTACCTGAACTTCGGAGGATGTACCATCTTGTGCTAGAGCCAATAAAATGCTGACACTGGTCTTCAGGTGCTGTCCTGAGCCTATGCCACCAACATAACGATGCAAGCAGCCAAGGGCCAATGAATGGCCAGTTCTAGACACAACATCTCGAGCTGACTTCAACCTGAAAAAAAGGATCATGTTTCAGGGATGGATTTCTCTATTTTCCTCTAGCATTAAAAAACACACAAAGTCACATACGGAAAAAAGAAAGATTCTGGAAAGTAAGAAAGATTATAATCATGATACTTGATTTTTCATTCTCATAACTTAACACAGAAGAGTAATTTAAGTGTCACTTGGAAATACTTGGAACAAGTAAAACTAATCAGAAGGCATCCAGCAGAAGATTAAGTGTCTATGAATGCCTTAGCTTGCTCATTTTACCCTCAGGAATTCAAACAACACACTGGGCCATTATTCTATCCCAGCTAGTCTGCCACTGTGTGAAAAGACAAGGAAAGCTATTCTCAAATGAATTCAGAAAATACTTTTTTCAGGATTACTATATAACAATCATTGAGTCCCACTGTCTCTTATTTATGATCATGATGTGGTTTTGTACTATTTAAAATATGTAATAAAATGGTATATAATTAAAGTGCTAGTTCTTAAACTTATTTTTGCTAGTCCTGAGGCTTGAATCCTGAGTTTAGGCTCTGTCCTTGAGATTCTTTTGCTCAAAGCTAGCACTCTACCAATTAAGCCAGAACACAACTTTCAGCTTTTCCTGAGTGGTTTACTGGAGATAAGAGTCTCTTAGACTTTCCTATTTGGACTGGCTTCAAACCATGATCCTCAGATCTCAGCCTCTAGAGTAGCTAGGATTACAGGTGTGAGCCACTGGCTTAAACACTTTTTTAAACATTTCGACTTAAGTATTTGATCACCAACTTCACAGTTAGTAATAACTACATCTTATCTTCATGCCCCAGCCTTTATTGCTGGTTATTTTTCAGGTAGGATCTAGTATTTTTGCCAGGAGTCAGTCTGATGCCATAATCCTCCTACCCTGTGATCAAGGACTTGCTCTACCACATTCAGCCTATTTGTTGAGATGAGAGTTTCACTTTTTGCCTGGGCTAGCTTTGAACCATAATCTTTCCAACCTCTGCCTTCTGGATTAGCTGGCCTCACAGGTTTAAGCCACCATTTCTAACCTGTCTTATTGTGTTAATCATATTTATTTATATCTCTGAGAAAATTCTTTAAAATTAACAAAGAAATCCTGAAAGCCATGATTAACTGTGTCTATAATAAGAGAATAATATGAGATAATAAGCTTGGTGGTAGTTTAAGTGGTGCTGTGGCCCAAGTGGTAGAGTGCTGCCTTGAGCTAAAGAGCTAAGGGACAGTGCCCAGGCCCAGAGTTCAAGCCCCATTACTGACAAAAAAAAAAAAGAGATTTATTCTAAAAAGCAATTCATAGAAAGAGTAGTGGTGGTAAATGGAAGCAGATGGAAGAAAAAAATGATGCAGAGCCTCTCTTAAGTGAGTGAACTTACCTGAGAAGCCCTGACTAACCTTCTTGGTTCCAAGAGCTGGATGAGACAACTCCCCATAGCAGAAGTACCTAACATGTTAGACTTTTCCAAGATTCAAGAGCTGAATCTGGGCTGGGAAGGTGGCTCAGTGGTAGAGCGCTTGCCTTTCATTAATGAGGCCCTGAGTTCGATTCCTCAGCATCATATAAACCAAAAGGAAAAAAAGCCGGAAGTGGCACTGTGGCTCAAGTGGTAGAGCACTAGCCTTGAGCTGAAGAGTTGAGGGACAGCACCCAGGCCCAGAGTTCAGGCCCCACGACTGGACCCCTTTCCCCCCAAAAAAAGAACTGAACCTTCAATAAACTGCACACTGGCATCATTGTGAAAAATATAAAATACCATCATAAGCTATACCAGATGGGAAATCCATAGTCCAGTACACAACGATTTATTACTTAAAAGAGAGAAACTTATTTTTTGGTAAAAAAGAATTCCACTTACTTGTCAAAGCTATATTGGGCCATTCTAGCAATAAAAGTTGCTTCTCCCACCACCTGAGCCATTCTCCCAAGAGCTTCTCCTGCTGCACACCGTAAGATGGGGTTGGGATTATCAAGAGCGCCCATAACCAGTGTAAGAGCAGATTTTCGAACCTCTTCGGGTCCTAAAGTACTTTTATTTTCAGCTAAGCCCTACATTGATTCCAAAAATAATAATTATGATAGTTTATATTTCAGTCAAATAAAAGAAAATACAATTTTTAAAAATATACATATATCTTCATACATTATTTTAAAAAATACATATATCTTCATACATTATTTTCTTCTGTTCACTATCATATAGATATTCTATATCTATAATTAGTACTTGTTAAATTGACAATAATCACTTTCCTAACTATGATTTTAAAACAAGATAAATAACATAGCTAATAGACAAATTAATCATAAAACCAATAATCCTTGGAGATTTTTTAATCCAAAGATTAATATCTAAATGCTGCTCTTGTATATAAAGAATATTCTATTATTAAGCTGACTACTATTTAACTGATTGGAATTTATCACTCTAAGTTAAAGGAAAGAGAAGATCTGAGAAGTGAAATACTAATTCATTTGTATAAAAATTCAACAAAAGATAACTATGTCTTACAACCATAATCAGTATATATGTAAAGACCAAATTCCACAAACAATAATCAGCAACTAACTGTTCATTCAGTTTGTTCATCATACTAAATGCAAATGTCTAGTCTTGCTCTTCTTACTGTTCGGGAATTTAAATTTACTTACTTGAAACAAAAAATGTAAGTTATGATACCAGAGAAAAATGTTAACAACAGCATACCTACGAAGAAAAATGAACCTGTATGATATTACAGCTCCTTATTCTCCCAACCACTAAGGCAGATCATGATCACTTTTTTTGTTTTTTTGGTTGGTCAAGGGGCCTGAACTCTAGCCCTGGACACTGTTTCTCAGCTCTTCGGCTCAGGGAAAGTGCTCTACCACTTGAGCCACAGCCACATGCCACCTCCAGTTTTCCGGTAGTTAACTAAAGATAAGAGTGTCAGGGACTTTCCTGCCGAGGCTGGCTTTTATCTGCAATCCTCAGATCTCAGCCTCCTGAGTAGCTGAGATTACAGGCATGAGCCACTGGCAAATACCTTTAATGCACTAAGAACAGCAGTGAATATATTAAGCTGCACAGCTTGCTGGCGAACACCCTTGGCTTGTTTAACACATTCAGCAAAGTGATCCAACATTTGCAATCTGCAACAAAAGGATAAAGTTCACATTAGCAATAATTTTTTCAAGTATTATCTAAAAGACAGAGGTAAGTACACCAATTGTTTAGCAAATAATATCCCATACTGTCTGTTTTGTGTCTCACTCTCATGGCTGATCCAAACCCATAGCTCTTCCTCATAAATATATAATCATGTAATTAACCGTGTATGCTTGGGGAAGTGGGGGTGAGGTATCAGTACTCAGGGCCCCAAGCTCTCTCTCAATTTTTTGCTTACAGTTGGTGCTCTAATACTTGTGTCTCACCTTTAGGTCCAAACTTTTGCTAGTTAATTGGAGATAAAAAGAGTCTAACAGATTTGTCTGTCCTGCCTGGTTTTGAACCTCAATCTTCTGAGCAGCTAGAATTAAGACATAAGTCATAGGCACCAGCACCAAGCTATGTAGATTATTTTTAATACAAAAATGAAAATTGTGGCATATTGTTAAAATTATCTTATATAGAAGAAAAGGGTATCTCATATCTTAAGTTCAGAAGCTATTAGTAGATTTCAAGTAATATTTAGTTTTGATCGGTTTATTGTTTTGTTTCTTTTGTACCAATATTAGGGATTAAACTCAGGGCGGTGTAGTCTCATTGATCACAGCTAGCACTCTACCATTTAAGCCACACTTCCAGTCTAGCATTTTTGCTGGTCAACTAGAGATGCAATCTTTTGGACTTTTCTGCCTGGCTTGCTTCAAACCTTGATCTTCTAGATCTCAGCCTCCTGGATTTCTGAGAGTATAGGCAGTGCTTAATTTCAACCAAATATTCATATATCTGGGCAAGACAAAATGTCATAATTAAATCTTAGATATGAAAAACAATTTAAATCAAGTAATATATATGTGTGTTAAATATTTAAAGATAGAATATCTTTCATATACTAATTGATTGATTGTGGTACTGAGACTCAGACTAAGGGTCCTGAAATTACTTAACCACTTAAGCTGTGACCCTGAACACTTTTTTGCTTAGATATTTTTCAGGCAGTGTCTTGTACTTTTTTGACTAGACCTGTGGGGTCACAATCCTCTTACTTAGGCATACCACAAAGCTGAGATCATAGATCCATGCCACCACACTTAGCTTATTGACTGAAATAAGATCTCATTAACCTTTTGCCTAAACTATCCTTAAACCTCCATCCTCCTAATGTCTGCCTCCCAGATAGCTGGCCTAAAATTTTTATATTATCTTGAAGGCCTTTCAATAATTCATTTTTCTTTTCTCTTTTAGAAAATCAAGAATATATAAAAATGTCTACTCAAGTTAGGGATAGTGATTGTGAATATCAAATATAGCAAACCAAATGCTTTTGGTATCTTAGTTCCCCAAGTTCAAGACTTGAACCATACCTCAGAGACCAATCTTATTACAGAATAAGCTCATCACCTATACAATTGTACAATAACAGAATTATCAAACTGATACTTTTAATTAAAGACCTAGTTGACTCAAAATTTCCAAACAAACCATTATGATGAAAATGTTGCAATTCAAAAGCTGGGCGCTGGTGGCTCATGCCTGTAATCCTAGCTACTCAGGAGGCTGAGATCTGAGGATCGCGGTTCAAAGCCAGCCCGGGCAGGAGAGACCGTGAGAATCCTATCTCCAATAAACCACCAGAAAACCGGTCGCCTTGAGCTGAAGAGCTGAGGGACAGCGCCCAGGCCCAGAGTTCAAGCCCCACGACCGACCAAAAAAAAAAAATGTTGCAATTCAAGACATAGTCCACAATAAACACAAAAATCTACTGTATGAATATAGTTTACATTTAGCTAAAACTACCTTATTGACTTTATACTAACCGGTGTTTGTAAGAAACATGAGGAAACACAACACCAAAAAGAGCCACAGAGGCATCAATGACTGAGACTCCAAGAGGGAGAGGACCAGGTACAGCTTCTCCAGCAGGTATTCGTAAATAAATAGAGGAAGGGTCATGTTCCAGAGCCCCACTTCCAGATGCACTATTTGGCTGGAGCTGCAAAGAGTAACATGAAAGTTACTTAAAATTACTTTAGAACTCTCTGTTCGTTTCTAGCTCTCTGCTCTCTCTCCCTTTTCTAGCTCTTTTCTCTCTTTCCTTTCTTTCCTCTTTCCTTTCCCAGCCACGTGGAGTGCCAACCTTGCCTGGTCCCAGCAGGTCTACTGAATAAACCTACCCCTTACCTGAATAAAAAAAAAAAAAAACTACTTTAGAAAATTTACTTGCTAAGAATTAGATATGAAGCTGGGCATAAGACAGAAAACTAATTAAAAACCAGTGATTGCAGGTTTGAGAGTAGTCCAATGGTAAAAGGCCAGGCAATGAGCAGACAGCCAGATGGAATCCCAGTCTTAGACAAAAAAAAGGAAAAGAAAAAGAAAAAAAGAATCACTATATCTAAACTTCTTTAAAAACAAAAATACATTTTGGCCATTAAAAAAAACAATTCTTTAAAAACAAAAATACATTTTGGCCATTAAAAAACAATTACCATTAATAACAATATATAGGATTTTAAGAAAAGTTTTACTCATTCTGAAACATTTTTATACAACCTACTTTGATGTGTAAACAAAATAATATAAGCAATACTTAAGCCCACAAAAAAAAACTTAAAAGAGGGCTTTTGATCTTTTTAAAAAGCACACTTAAAAAATGGTATACTCAGTGGGCAAAATAGTTGCTAAACTTATAGTCTAGTCACTCTCTCATCCCTCTCCAACCTGCTGGAGGCATACCTCAAGTCATACAGCACCAGCCAATTAGTGAAAACAAGCATCAAAAACCAGTTACAATTAATTTTGCTACAACTAACATAGGATATCACACAAACAATACTAAATAAACACAATTTGCCAAATTCTACTTTTTATATTTTTCATCACCTATCTACCATCATGATTCTATCTGTGTCTAAGAAAGTTAAATGAAAATTAAACTTCAGTACGTGATATTCTCTTTTAAATGACAAAAGTATATTAGGACCATTGTTTTAGGTTAATATGGCATTTCATTTTCCATTAAGGCTTACTACCTGGTCTTCAATTGATTTATGATCAGTTTCTTGCAGCCAGGAACCGAGAAGAACACTGTCATCATAGTGGCAGAGGGATCGGAGGAGGGAGGTAGTTGTGTTGGCGGAGTTGTCAGTCAAAGTGAATTCGGCCACCAGTTCCCTAAGAAGTGCATTGAAAGATCCTACAAAAAAATCTTCAGATTAAAAATTATAATTTTCATGAAAACTACAATACGCTTAACAAGAATAAAGTAAGTATATATTCTCTCTTTTAAAAAATCTATTTTTTAATGGTAAGGGTTTTGAACTTAGGGACTCACATGTGCTAGGAAAGTGCTCTACCACTTCAGCCATGCTCTCAGCCCTAATTTTTCTTTTTTTTAAAGATGGGTCTCAGTGGGGCATTGGTGTCTCACACCTATAATCTTAGCTACTCAGGAGGCTGAGCTCTGAGGATTCAAAGCCAGCTTGGGCAGAAAAGCCCATTAGCTTCTTATTGCCAATTAACCATCCAAAGTCCAGAAGTAGAGCTGTGACTTAAGTGGTAGAATGTAGATTTGAGCAAACAAAACTAAGGACAGCACCCAGGCACTGAGTTCAAGCCTCAGGAAGTTTAAGCCTCAGGAGCATCCCCCTTACCCAACAAAAGATGGGGGTCTCACTATGTCTGGCCAGAACTCTTTGGGTTGAAATGATCCTCTTGTCACAGTTTCATAGGTAGTTGAGACTAGGGTATATGCCACCATTTAAAGTTTTATAAGTAACTATCAATAAAATTTAGGTGCATCTGGGACTTGGTTAATAATACAAAATTATATTAAATATTTTAATACATCTTTTAATATATAAAATGTCATTTTTTATTATTGTATATGCCTTAAGAAAAAACACAGAAGATAAATCTTTTATTTTAAATACAATAAATGCTACACAACATTAATTATTGCTCATTGCCAATGTCACGCAAATACTGAACTACAGCTACTAAAATTCTCAGGCATAGTTATTTAATATTAATGTTTTACATAATGTTTTATTTCTACAAAGTATATTACTAAGTCTCCCTTCAGGTTCCTAAATTATAGGATATATTACAATGTATATGAAACAGTTTAAAATATTAATTGAAAGTTCAGATACTGAAGATAAACCAGCTAAATCTCAATCCAAGCTTAGCTATTTACTAGCTCTGACTCAGAGAAGTTACATTATCTTTGTCTGTCTGGGATTCTTTGTTATTAATTCATAAGCTAAGTTTTAGAATCATAAAACTAATATAAGTAAAGGGCTTGGAATGGCAACTAGAACACAATAAAACATCAACAAGAGTGAGCTCCTTAAAAAAAAAAAAAAAGAGTGAGCTTCTTTACTTGAACTTTTGTACATCAGTGGCCTTTTTTTCCAAAGTGGTTCCATGGGATTCTGGTCAGACTCTTTTAACACTGAGGAACTGTAAGAGCATATTGAAGAATTTTTATCAGATACTTCAAGTTTTTTTTACCTTCGTAAGTTTTGGGAGGTAACAAAGCCAAGATATCATAAAGTCTTAAACGGACCATTGCTGCACTAGCTTTCAGATGTGCTCCATGGGCTTTAATTACAGATGGAATGCTAAAATAGCAAAAGCACAGTTAAGATCAGCTTTGTAGAATAAGCATTACCTATTAATGTTTGGCAATATATTGATGTAATGTCAAAGTACATTGATAAGTATCACACACATTCACTTTATTTTATGATATTTACCACTGGCAGCAAAAGCATGTTAAAATACATTTATATATATATATATATATTTTTTTTTTTTCTTAGTTGGTCCTGGGGCTTGAACTCAGGACCTGGGCTCTGTCCCTGAGCTCTTTTGCTCAAGGCTAACACTCTACCACTTTGAGCCACAGCTCCTCTCCCAGTTTTCTGGAGATAAGAGTCTCACAGATTTTCTTGCCAGGCTGTCTTTGAACCAAGATCCTCAATTCTCAGCCTCCTGAGTAGCTAGGATCAGGTGTAAGCCACCGGCCACTAGTGTACATTTATACTTTAATTAACATCAGAAATTCTAAGCCAGGTATCAGTGGCTCACACCTGTAATCCTAGCCACTCAGGAGCTGAGATCTGCAGATTGTGGTTCAAGGCCAGCGGGGGCAGGAAAGCCCATGACCCTCTTATCTCTAATTAACTACCAGAAAACCAGAAGTGGCACTGTGCTCTAGAGCTCAAGTGGCAGAGCTCTTGCCTTGAGCTGAAGAGCTGAGAGACAGCACCCAGGCCCAGAGTTCAAGCTCCACGACTGACAAGAAAAAAAAAGAAAAGAAAAAAAAGAAATAGTTCTTAAAAAGTCACTTTTGCAAAAATTCAGTTTTGTGTAAGTTCTACGTAAGACTTTTTTTGTGGGGGAGGGGTCCAGTCGTGGGGCCTGAACTCTGGGCCTGGGCGCTGTCCCTCAGCTCTTCAGCTCAAGGCTAGCACTCTACCACTTGAGCCACAGCG